TATAAGAGTTTGTTCTTACTGTCTTTTCATTCTGGTGCAGTTTAATAGAGGTTTGTCTCCTCACTTCATGTTTTAAAAAGCATCCAGTCAATTTCCTATAATCATACATCACTTGATCACTCTTCTCCATTGTTGGCTTTCTTTTCCATTGTCAACGGAGGCCTACTACACACTGAAGAGGGTAGAATCTCACTGTCAAAGGATGTATTTTTTGTGTCTTTTATGTTTTTTATACTTTTTTATTGTGAAAACACTGTACAGAGGGGTTACATTTACAGGAGCAAGGTAATGAGTACATTTCCTATTAGGCATCGTTTCCTCCTCCTTTGTTTTTCTCCTACCATCCCTTCCCTCCCAGCTCCACAACTACACTCCCCTCTCCCTAATTGTAAAGTTTGTTTTTCAACATAGTATCTTGTACATCTCATTTTTACTATGGGTCAACCTGTATCTCTATTTAATCATTTTGTTTTTTGCCCTTCGCCTCCCAAACTGCACTGTGGTGGAGTGTATACTTGTTTAACCACTTTGGAAAGCAGTATGGAGGTTCTTTAAAAGACTCCACATAAAGTCCTCTACTACCTAGCAATCCCACTTTTGGGCATTTACCTAAATGTTCACAAACAAGACCACATTAAAGCTACCAGCACAACTATGTTTATTGCAGCATTACTTACCATAGCTAAGATATGGAAGCAACCCAGATACCCCTCAGTAGATGAATGGATCAAGAAATGTGGTATGTTCCTCAAAGTATGTATTTTGGGGGAGATAACTTTGCTGTGTTGTTAAAAGTCACACATGTTGATCATAAAACCTGAAGAAACAACAACACCTGAATGTAAAGACCGGCTCAACTTCAGCTAATATGGGTCTAAATTTGCCACCATTCAGGAAGAAGTGGTTGTAGATGAGGGCTTTGATTTGGTCTGTTGCTTGTGGTGATTTTCTCAGCTTACTAGTTGGTTGTAGCACTTGTTTCTTTGTGGTTTTATGAAGGACACACATTTGTTTTCTTGGATGTGTATTAATTGTATTGTAGAGTTGGGATATTTTCATATGTGCATCTGATGTGCATTGGTCATATTCATCACTCTGATACACTGGCTTATGTTCCATTGCCTCAGAAATCCCATTTTTTTAAAATAAAACTTATAAATTTTATATGGTTTTATCATGACTTTTCCACAGAACAAATAATATATCTCAATTGTGTTGTCGAAAAAACAAACTCTGCTATTCTTCTTCCAATCACCTACTGGGTCACCCTCAAATACCTCCCAAATCTATTCATGTCCTATAAAACAAAGTCTAGGTTCTGCATCTGCATATGAATGAAAATCATCATTGAATGCCATACAAAATTATCTGGGAGATGAGCACATACAAAAAGTATAAATTATTTTGGTTCATGTAGTTTGCCAGTCTTGTTTAATTTCTAAATAATCAACTCTGATTTTTATTGGTATTGGTCTTTTAGTGTCCATTCATTTCTTTTATGGTGTTTTTTATTTCATTTGCCTGCTAATTCTGATTTTTTTTTATCCCATACTGATTTCAAATGCCAAGCTTCTTGATTTGCATATTTAAACTGTACCAAAGGATTTAGATGTGGTCATTCAAAACATGCATCTAATGTCCTTTGATGGAATTCACTCTCTATAACTTATTCTTATACTCCTCACCACTGTTTAAGTAATTTTAATGGGTGTTTACATTTTCCATGCATACACATCAACTACTTTAATTATAACTGCTTCCCCCATCCTCTCCTTCAGCATTCCATTTTCCACTGGCTGTCCTCCCAAATATTTCCTTATCGACACTCACGCCACTCCTGTCATTCTTTGCTTATTTTTTTTTTTTATGTCAGAACTTCAAGGATATTCCTTTGAAATGCCCAAGATAGTCAGTGTTGAGTAAAAGTGAAGCAGAGAGAAAGATGTAACTCTGGATTCTGGATTCTCACTGAGAGCTGTATTTTGTTAAGTGATATTGCCTAGGGGTCAAGGTCAGGAAGAAGTAGGGTGACTTGGGATATTATTGTGGCATTTTTCTTACAGTTTTCCCCAGGTCTTTGATCGTTGCAGGATGGAAGTCTTCACTTGCAAAAAAATCTATATGTACAAAAGAGCTCTTTCATGTTTTTCTCTCTATCCCTCTGACCACCAATTTTTTGCCTGCTGTGTGAGGTGAGGATACTTAAAAGGCATAGACAGTTTGCTATAAAAAATAAAATAAAAGAAGAGGAAAGGAAGACCTGAAAAGGATTCAGAATTCTCCTCTCAACTGTTGTGAAGGGTACTTACTCCAGAAAGTCAAGTTCATCCAGATAGCTGTAGTACATCTGCAGGTAAGGAACTGATATTATGATCTTTTCCAGAAGCAATTGCCTAATTCAGATATTCATGGGCATTACAATGTTTAAGAGAAAGTTGAGGGAGACAGGAGGAAGGGTGAACATCAATCTCCTTTATTCTAAGACAGAAGTTGATTGATTCTGTCCATGTGTATGTATGTATGTATGTATATATATATATATATATATATATATATATGAACCAGAGCCTACCAGTGGGCTTTCTGGGATAAAGTACACCTACAGTGAAATCATTAGAGTACACTTAATTAGAATTTGAAGACAATTATCATCCAAAGTAGTCCCTTAAAATTTATAGTTTATTTATAATTTATGAAAATAAAAAGGTTTATAAATGCACATTAATTTGAACTATCTGATACTGCTTTCTATCACATCTAGTTCTCTCTCAAACCTCTCCTAATGCATTCTCATAAAAAAAATCTTACTATTCTTACAACTCACTCATTTGAAAAAATAAACAAAAAAACCCTTTAATAAATATGATGAACAACAGCAACTTTAGTCTTCTTTCCAACTTTCGTCAGAAAAGGGTTCAGTCTTTGGACACCACAAATTATTTATAACACAATTTTTGTATTTGATTGAATTCAATGTATACTGGTTTCAATAGAGTTGTTAGTTCCTTTCTCTCAACTAAAATGTATTAAAGAATGCATTTTTATCTGGCTTTTGGTGTTCTTATATTGTTCAGGGGTGGAGTGAGTGTGTGTGTATGTGTGTGTGTGTGTGTGTGTGTGTGTGTGTGTGTGTGTGTGTGTGTGTGTTTTTGATGGTACCAGACTTAACCTCAGAGCTTTGATCTCTGTTGGCTTACTTGTCCAGCTAGTTTTTGTATTATGGAGGGAGCCTCCAAGCTTTTTCTGTGAGATGGATTTCACGGATTTCCCTGCTTTGGCCAGATGTGAACTGCAATTTAATTGTTCCTAGCCTCCTGAGTAGATAGGAGTATAATCACGAGCAACCAGAACCTACCTCTGGTCTTCTTTAGCCTAAGTTTAACTTTTTCAGTTGGTTTGTTTTTTTTGTTTGTTTGTTTTATGGGATTTTTTGTGTCAGCATTACTTGCCATCTTCTTGAAAATATTGTTTTTCTTCAGTCTGATTTTTTCCAAAACACAAAAGTCATAATTTATTTAAGTCAAAGAGCAAGATATATTTTACCTTCTATTTTCAGCTATCATATTCCTGTGAATGTGCTGAGTGATCATAATATTAATCAAAACACTAAGCCTACAATTATTTTCCTATGTTGGTTTCAAAATAATCAAAATTTTCTATAAAAACAGGGTTGAACATGGAAGGAAATTTATTTTATTTACAATTGTGATATGAATAAAAATATACATAAATACTTAAATACATAAGAAATTCATATGTATTCATTAATAAATTAGATTAAAGGAATACGAAGAAAAAAACAAATATAACTCCCATTGAAATCTTCTATGAAAGAGACACAGTGCTTGCTAATAAATTCCAGAGCAGGAAGAAAGTATTTTGAACATTCTACAGTGAATGTCTTGTTTCTTTGCCTTGGCTCAAAGGAAATACATGAGCAACATTCATATTTTCAAAGAGTAGAACAAAACCTCCTTTACAGGCCTCAGGTGTACTAAGGAAAGGAACAGATGTTCACACAGCAATTAGCAAATCATATGAATCGAACTATAGGGAATCACTACAGTAAACAGAAACTTTTAAAGGCTCCAGAAAATCACTATGATAATGTAAAATTTGTTGTCTTAGAGTTTCTGTGGTGATTAGAAGTCAGGGATAATGGCCTTTAGTGTGTCACTTAAACAAAGTACCACCATAACAGTGTATTGCTAAAATACAATACTTTCACTTAGTGGAGTGATCCAAGTCATATTACAGTGACTATGCATGTAAATCCTGCTGAGCTATTTTTTATTTTGCCTTTTTTGTTATATGAAGCCTCCTTCAGTTTGAGTAGATATGTTTAAAGCCATAATTCCTAGTGATATACCTGACAATGCATTGCAACACACAGCAACTTGTACTTACCACCGTATATATATTTAAGTCCTGACATCGACCTTGTTGTTTAATAAAAAAACAGACTTTCAAGAGTACTTATTGGAAAATAATATTAATTTCAAAGAAGCAAAAATCATATTCAACATCCCTCCATTGTTCTTATGCCTGGTTTGTGAATAAAATGTAAGATCCTCTGAAAAATCCCTTGTTATTTTCCCTCTAATTTTCAATAAATACCTTTCGCCACTAGGTGTCAGGATTAGATAGTAGCAGACACATTCTCTTCTCAGCCTGTTTTCACATGGGTTGGTGGACAATGAACAAGCCAATCAAATATCCACAAGCAGAGCTGATCGCTTCATTGTATCCAACAGATCAACTTTCCAAGTGGCCCAGGAACTTATCCACGTGCTCAGGCTTCTCTTAAAGTGTTGCTGGCTTTCCCTAGACACTCATCATCAAAGAAAATGGAAATGAGAATACTGCATAGTTCCTTCTCACTGTGGTTACTTTGGCACACTGCTATAAAGCCCTGCTCATCCCTCTGTCACCTTTCTACACAAATGTGTCTCCTCATTTTGTGATTTATTTATTTATTTATTCTTTCTCCTTAACTGCAGGCTTTAGATTTCGAAACAAAGAAGGCATACACGTTTAAGGTAGAGGCCTCCAACATTCACCTGGACCACCGGTTCCACTCTGCCGGGCCTTTCAAAGACACAGCCACGGTGAAGATCACGGTCCTGGACGTGGACGAGCCCCCGGTGTTCAGCAAGCCGGGCTACACCATGGAGGTGTACGAGGACACGCCCGTGGGCACCATCATCGGCGCTGTCACGGCCCAAGACCTGGATGTGGGCAGCAGTGCTGTGAGGTGTGGGAAATCCACAGTCATGGTTGTTTTTATTGGTTTGCTTCCTAACGTGCGTCAGAATAACAAAACCAAAAGCAATCCAACAAACCCTTGTGGTGATTGGGTTCCACATGGTCTGGAAACGTAAGGGCCTCATGCCAGGGCAAGAAGAGAAGGCTAGGACGAAGGGATGACTGGGAGGTGTGGGGAAGGCGCTGACAAAGGGAGGGGGAAGGGCCGATCACCCAGGCTCACAGAGCTCTACTTTCATCTACAGAAGGAACTTAAAAGAATCTCAAGGAATGAGCTTAAGTAAGATCAGTGCGGTTAAGACCCCACTGTCTGGAATACAATTAGACATTCATAAATTACAATATCACTCCCTGCTTTAATCAGTGAATAAAATGAGGTGTTTTACACTTTACAATTCATAAGTAGGAGTATTTCCGCCCCTTCTCCATATGCAAAGCAGGAAATCTGTCTTTCCTTTTGTTTTGATTGGTTTTACTTTTTTTTTCTGTTCTAAAATGAACCCTTGATAAATGGGGAGGGGGTATGTTTTTCCACTGTGATGATTGTATCTGCTGTGTATTAGACGGCTCTCCCTCCCTCCCTCTCTTTTTTTCTTCCCTCCCTCCCACCCATCTCTACCTCATTAACTCTACAAAGACTACTAGCATTACTGCAGAATGCTAACAGTTCCCCCTTTCTCACTTATACTTTGATCCTGCAAGAAGTTGAGACTCGTCCTGGTTCTGTTGTGTGCTTTCTGACACAGGCTTCCAATTTTGGGAAAACAAAACTGAGGTTCTTTCTGAACCTTTCATCACTAACGGATTGCATATGAACATGATAAGAAACAAATTAAGAAAGCATTATAGAGGCTCTGTGTTTTTGTGTTATTGTCGCTGTTTTTATTGTTGTTTTGTTGAGGTTCTAACCCAGAATCTTATATATGATAACCAGTGCTTTACTATTGATTGACAGCTCGGTTCTTGTAGGCTTTGAAATATATATATATATGTATATATATATATAATATATATATATATTCATTTGTAGATAAATAGACATCTTGTAAGATTTCATACCACTAAGCAGTAACAAAAGCATATCAACCATACTATGATAGAATAGCACAATAAATGCATATAGTACAATCTTAAAGAAACAGCTGGAAAGCACACATGCCTTTCTGATTACATCCATCTGAAGCCATCCCCTAAAGGCATTGCTATTCCTATCTAGTTGTTTCAGACTCCAGTATCAGATATACATAGACTGGCAACTGAAGTAAGAAATGCTTATTTCTCACAGTTGTGGATACTGGAAATCCAAGTTCCAGGAGCCAGTAAATCCAAAATAAAGGGCAGTTTCCTATTTAGCATGTGATCATCTTTGCATATCCATATGAAGCAGAGAAGAATGTGAGCTCTGTAAGTTTCATTTATCATATATCAATAAATTATGAAGACTCCACTCTCCTGATTTAAGGCTCATCTCTTAATTATGTCAAATTGGAGGTGAGAATTTCATGGCATGGGTTTGTGAGAGAGAGAAGATACCCAAATTTCAGTCTATAACATTCCTCCCTGGCTAAGCAAGATTCAGGTGTTTCTCGTGGGCAAATTATATTCATTCCATCCCAATTATTTCACCAAGTCTTAAATTTCCATTCTGCAGTCTACATTGTGATGTGCCATCTATATATCCTCTAACCTAGTGCAGGATGAGACTTGTAGCAAAATATCTTTCTAATACTGAGATTTTGAATCCAAACAAAGGGTGTGCTTCATAAATACAAAGGTGGCCAAGAACAGAACAGGTATCCCCATTCAGAATGGGAAAGAGAAATGAAGAAGCTTGGGGAGTACATAAGTTCAAAACCCAGCAGGATTAAATCTATTCCACTGTAGTAGGTACAAATGTTGCTCCTCTGGTTCAATGCTGTAACTGCTAGGCCCACAGAAACAGAGATGCGGACATGGAGAAGTACCTGCCTTCTTACTGCCTTGGAGGACCACATCAACATGCAAAGGTCACAATCAAAGGGCTACAGTGGACTATCTCATCCTCTGGGACTTGATCCTCTACTTTGAAACCATTGTTGAATCAACCACACCTTCACATATTGACTTGCTTTCAGGGTCTTTCTTTACGTGACTTGAAGAATAATAGAATAATTTATGTTCTATGATTTAATCTTGTAACTCATAAGGACTCTGTCTTTATTTTCCTCCTCCTCCTCCTCCTTTCCTTCCTCTTCCTCCTCCTCCTCCTCCTCCTCCTCTCTTTCTTCTTCTCTTCTTCTTCTTCTTCTTCTTCTTCTTCTTCTTCTTCTTCTTCTTCTTCTTCTTCTTCTTCTTCTTCTTCTCTTCTTCTTCTTTCTTCTTCTCTTCTTCTTCTTCTTCTCTTCTCTCTTCTTCCTTCTTCTTCTTCCTCTTCTTCTCTTCTTCCTCTTCTTCCTTCTTCTGTTCTTCTTCTTCTCTTCTTCTCTTCTTCTCTTCTTCTTACTTCTTCTTCTTCTTCTTCTTCTTCTTCTTCTTCTTCTTCTTCTTCTTCTTCTTCTTCTCCTCTTCTTTCTTCTTCTTCTTCTTCTTCTTCTTCTTCTTCTTTCTTCTTCTTCTTCTTCTTCTTCTTCTTCTCTCTTCTTTCTTCTTCTTCTTCTTCTTCTTCTTCTTCTTCTTCTTCTTCTTCTTCTTTCTTCTTCTTCTTCTTCTTCTTCTTCTTCTTCTTCTTCTCTTCTTCTTTCTTCTTCTTTCTTCTTTCTTCTTCTTCTTCTTCTTCTTCTTCTTCTTCTCTTCTTCCTTCTTCTTCTTCTTCTTCTTCTTCTTCTTCTTCCTTCTTCTTCTTCTTCTTCTTCTTCTTCTTCTTCTTCTTTCTTCTTCTTCTTCTTCTTTCTTCTTCTTCTTCTTCTTCTTCTTCTTTTCTTCTTCTTCTTCTTCTCTTCTTCTTCTTCTTCTTCTTCTTTCTTCTTCTTTCTTCCTTCTTCCTTCTTCCTTCTTCTTCTTCCTCTTCCTCTTCCTCTTCTCTTCCTCTTCTTCTTCTTCTTCTTCTTCTTCTCTTCTCTTCTTCTTCTCTTCTTCTTCTTCTTCTTCTTCTTCTTCTTCTTCTTCTTCTTCTTCTTCTTCTTCTTCCCTTCTTCTTCTTCTTCTTCCTCTTCTT